GGGTTTGAAGATGTCCTTGTTTGCTCATCCTAAATAGTTCTTTTTATTTATAGTCACCTGGTGGCATTTATGAGTAAAAAGAGGCAGATCTTGGAAGAGTTTGAAAGGTTCTCAATCTTTTTGGTTCCAGGATTCCTTTACACTCTTAAAAATGAATAGCTAAAGTGACTTTTGAGTATAGTGTCTTTAACTACCAACGTTTATGTATTAGTAAGCTGGAAATTTTTTTAAAGACAGAAATACACAGATGCAGGAACCATAGGCCATAGGAGCAATGATGTCATCACATACTACACATCTTCTAGAAATCTGTACTCTAACCATGTTTTTAAAAGAGAAACAAATGCAAATATTGTGTATTACTAGGAAAATATTTTCTCTTTGTGGACCTTCTGAAGGGGTCTCCCAGACCCACAGCTCCCCTAAACACCAGTATGCAAGAACATTCTCCATTCCACACAACAAATGAAATGCAAATTTCACAAAACAAATACTCTCAGTTGGGGGATTTATTTTTGCATCCAAAGAGAGTTTTCAAAATGAAATGGATTGCCATTAACGGTATTCCATTTAAATTTTTGAATGATATAGGCCAAATTTTAACTTCATCTGTTTGTATCTACTCTTATAAGACATATCAAGACCCTAATGATTTCATGATCTATAAAGATTTATATACTTTGTGGGCTGGGAATGTGGCCCAATGGTAGAGCACTTGCTTGGCTGGAATACACAAAACCCTACGTTCAATCCCTACCACGAGGTGGGGGGGAACAAGGAGAGAAAGGAGAAAAGAGTTATAAGATCTGTCATGCTGAAATGTAGCAAGAACTCCAACCATCCCCAAAATAAATGGAGTTGAACTGATTCAGAGTGAGATAATGAATGCATACAGCTCACAATCTTATAAAAACATGACACTTGGTTAAGAACATTTTGAGTTGGGGTCAGGGGAGCTGCACTGCATAGGAATTTTAGATGCTATCTAGGAACATGTTCACACTAGTTTTTTACATATAAATAAACATCAGTATCAAATTCAAAATGAACAAAAATTCAGATTTTTCTCTGCATGAGTGAAACAATCCATAACCACATACACAAACAGTGACAGTGTGGGTACATATGAGTTAGAGAGCAAAAGGAAAAATATCTGAATGACCTTATACTATTGACTACTCTAGCTTTGGCTTTATTATAAAAGGTACTCTTTAAGCAAATATATTTGCATAAAAGAAGAAGACATAAATGCAACAGTAATTGAAGATTGCATGTGCCCTTAAAGGCAAACAAAGGCTAAGTTACAATACAGCTTCAGTTGTTAGGGTTCCTCCCAAAGTGAGCAAATGCTTATTTTGAATGCAATGCAAATCTAAGGATTCAAAGGCAAAACAGCCATTTACAAAAGTTAAGGAAGGCTGAACTCTCTTTCATTCCAACTAGTCTCATCACCATTCACACCAGGCTAAATTAAAGCAGCTCAGCATTTCTCAAAATCAGTGTTTGATACTAAATACAAAAAGTCAGTCAGTTTTCCTTGCTGGTTTCTTGACCAAAACACCCCAGTTTTAACAGTGACTTGTCATTTTCATTGGAAACTCTTTTCTAATAGTTTCAACCAAAACTTAAAGTGACCCAAACCAAATATGAAAAACAATTCAGCTTTGCATTGTTATTTGACTAACTTGAATCCTTGTGATCTTAAAAATCTTTTTTTTATATACTACTTATGACTTTCTTAGTTATAGCTCACAAAGGAATCAAAGGTAAATCGAGTCCAAAAAAATTGTGCCTGTTGCTGAATACTAGAAACAATGCCAGACCCAACAGCTCCACTCAACAATCCCACAGTCTGTTATTCCCTGCAGGAAGGAATATTTACATCTGGAAACTGTAAAGAGAACATTATTACAAAAATCATTTCTGAAAGACGTTCCATTCATATTTTTGCACAGGGCTCTCAATGTTAAGGAAAATCATCATGCTAAGCAACCTAAACTGAGACATCAAAGGATTTCCCCAGCAGACAAATCATAGGTTGGCTTATCACTCTAGCCAGGATGCCTGATGCAGCCTAACTAGCATCACCACCACAAGAAATTAACAGCTCACATAAACCTTTGCACTAATCATCCCTCCAACCCCAGGTTTGTAGTAGGAGCCCACTCAACCATACACTCCAGTGGAGCAGATTATTGAATATTTAGTGATAAAGAAGTGCTATGGAATGACATTCAAACACTCTTGACACATTCACCTTCAGCTAAAGGCAGTACAACACTGACAGACACAGCTCTAATGACATCAGGACCTGTGGAATGTATGATTGCTAAGAAACACATGCTGCTAGGAAACACAGAACAGATCTCATCTGATCTTCTAAGGTAAAGACTGGAAATCACTGTGATGTGAGCTTCTAAAATAGGAGGAAAATATTCTTCAGTCCTCAGGAATGTTTGCAAGTGCAGAGACTGTAACCCAAATCCTCTAGAAAAGAAACAGGAGAAGAAAGATTCTATTAAATTATATAGTAATTCTCTACATTTTTATTAGGATCATGGCCACGAGCAATATCTTTTATAAAAAAAAATAATCAGAATTAGGCATCAGTGAGTGATTCAATATTTTTTCTTTTGCACCCTATGCTTTGTCAAGAGGTCAAGACCTTAAAATAAAATGGTGTACTCAAAAATAAAATACCTATTTAGAAAGACGTGTTTTTTTTAAACAAACTAGAGCATAGCCATTTTGAACAAACATCAAAGTAGCCAGAGCTAACCCAGAACAATAGAATGTAGTATTTTTAATTACTAAATTTGAGAAGTAGTTATCTTTGCACACATAAGTTTATTAAAAGTGCCTATCTTTGTATATCCTTCACTCTTTCTTTAGGTATTTAAAAGAAAAAAGCAATTCAACAAATCTGAAAGGTATTTCAATATAAATATCCTCTTGACTGCTATAAAAATGATCTGGTATCCTCTTTGGGGGATACTATAAAAGAACTGGCAATTCTATTTCTAATCCCTATACAGATAAATTGGGCATCAGAACTGCTAATCATTCAGTAGCATTACAGAATAAAAAATGAATTAGGGAACTGGCTAATCTCTGTTATCTCATGGGCAAATACAGGAGACTCTCCAAAAGGAAAAAATGACTAAAGTGTTTCCTTGCAGTCTACCATGGCATTCTTTAACTAGTGATGACAGCCCATATGACACTAAAATTAGCAGACCGCCTATTTACTTTAGAGCAAAACACAGAAGGCAATTTTTCCTTTCTGCCAGAGTCTATGCATCTCCTCATTTCCCCAGCAGCTGGCTGGAAGGATGTAAAATCAGAGGTGCAAGCAGCCTTATACTTCCTAATGAGTAATTCACCAAGGAAAGTAAACACAACACCAGCAGGTTCGGCTCTGAGGGAGACGTTGGCCTAGACACTTACACTGTTGTTTACAATGTTCTCCAACTGCTGCAGGCAGGGACCACAGGAGCCTCAGGAAGGAGACATCCTGGAGGTGACTTCGCAAAGCTTCGAGTTCGCCCAACTGCTCTATTACAGGCCATAAATAAAAGTAACACACGTTTTCTATCTGGGCTAGGAAAGTGGCCAGAGAATTCCAGGGGACAGAGATTATGCAGGCTAGACTCAATTACTTAAATCTGCCAGAGACGACTACTCTGGCAGGTCCTCACACAGGGCCAATCTGGGGTGCGTCGGGCGCTGCACCAGTGACTCGCAGGCGTCGCACTCATCTCTAGGAGCTGCGCCTCTCAGGAGGAGAGGGAACCTGCCGCGAGGCTTCCACGCTGCCCTACGGGGGGCCCTCATGGCCTCCTCAAACCAGATTTTCCAGCTAAGCGGATCCCTGGCCATTTCAATACAACAAGCTGGGCACAAGCAGCATCCGCTCTCCCAAGCCCGCACGGGTCTCCCCGCCATCCCTGTCGCGCACACATAGACAGGCACACGCAGTCCCCTGAACCACTAACCCCGACAGAAGAGGTGACTTCTCACCCCCACAAGCACACAGCTACATTGCTGGGCACCTGGCATGCTCAACCTGCCACCCCTGGCGTGGAACCAGAGGCTGGGTCCTAGTGGTCCCCGAGCTCGGCTACAGCCCAGAGACTTCTCTCCTAAGCGAAGCGCGGGGGTGCCTGCTCTCCTACCTGTAACCTGCCACCGCGGTCACCACCGCTCTGTCCACCGCACCTGGGCACCACCACCGCCGCGATCTACTGAACACCCCCTGCACACCCGGGGCTTCTCCCAGCCCAGCTCAACCCCGGGCCACCTACGAGAGGGGCAGTTTTCTCCAGCCACAACCACCCAACAAAGCCTAGGCACGCAGGTCTCAACCAAGCTGCCATGAAGGGGACACACAGGAAGGATGTCAGGAGGCAGCGCGTTCCACCATCCAGGGGCGCGACCCGGGCAGGCTCTGCTACCTTGGATGGTCCAAGGTAGGCAACCAGAAAGGATCACACCAGCCTCACCACCCCGCATTCTCCATCAGCCTAAGCGGAGATCCTCACCCGCTCCCTTTTCGTCCTCCAGCCCACTCCCGCCTCCAGTGGCAGGAGCTGCAGCCCAGTGGATAAAAAGCGCCCTCACGGCTGCTTTCTGCCCCTACCAAAGGACAGCACTGGGGTGACAAGGGAGGGAAAATGCGCGGGGTGGGTTCCTGTCACCCGGCATGTGAGACCGCAAGTATGCCTGTTCTCTCCTCTACGTCCTCCTCTGCCGCCCAGTAGCTGGTAAAACCTCGAACCCGTGCCAAACCAGAGCGCCCACCAGCCAGGAGGCTCCCTTCCCGCCAGGCATCACGATGAGATGAGTGTGTGTATGAGGGGCGAGTGTGCGAAGGCGAATGTGTGAGTGGAAGGGTGAGTGTACGTGAACCCCGCACCCCCTCGCCTGCCCGCCTAGCGGATACTGCCGCCTGCACCCTACCAGAGCGACCACTATGACGAAGAGTGCAAAGAATAAATTACCTTTCGTAACCACCGGTCCATGAGATGGTCCCATCAGTTGCTCAACAACCTGCAACCCGGTGCAGTTTTCCACAATCCAACCATTGAGCCCCCGGGCAAAAAAAAAAAAAAATTATAAAAATAAAGAAGATGGACCGGGCCCCAGTGAAGACACCTCAAGCCACAAGAGGCAAAGAACCATAATCAAAACGCAGAGACCGCAGGAGGGTGGAGAACCCAGTCGAGGAAACAACAACAAAAAAGTGTCTCTTTTCTTTCTTCCGCTACACAGCCATGGAGAGGAGAAGCCGGGGGGGAAGCCAAATGCTCGTCTTCCTTTAGGTTTCCTCTCTTCACACGCCCTAAGGGGCAAATGCGGAGCAAAGAGAAGGAGGGTTCAAATGTCTCTCCGAGAGCACAGTTGCACAACTTCGGAGTCAGGCTCTGTCTCCAGCAGCCGGCGGACCCAAGCGAGAGCTATTAACATGCGGCAGTCATAGCTGGAGCTGCCTCTCCTCCTCTGGCTGCTGCTGCCGCCGCCACCGCCAGTTAAGAAAAGACGCTGCTGAGGAGACCAAAAATCTTCCACCATCCCCCCCCCAGCCGATCTTTATATCCAGTTCTCCCACCCCACCCCCCTTCTCTTTCTTTTTCTTCTTCTTCCTCGTCCTCCCCTTTCCGCCTCCGAGCGGGAGGGAGGGAATAGGTAGGGGCAGCGGCGAGGGACAGGGGTGGCTTCCCCACCCAGCCCTCCTTGTCGTCCTCCTGCTGCCCCGGAGGTGCTCTGGAAGTCGAGGGTCTGCTCTGGAGCCGGCCACCCGCCCCGGGAGCGGGGCTCGAGCCACGGAAACTCCTCGCCGGGTGCACTGCCGGGACGCGCGGGCAGAGCGGGCGCCCGGCCGCCGAGGGCTGAGTGCCGGGGGCTGGTGAGCCCCGAGCCCCGGAGGTGGCCGCTCAGCTCGCCGGGCCGGCCGGGTAGCTGCGGGCATGCGGGAGCTTCATCGCGCGGCCGGAGCTCCGAGTCGCCGCCGCCGTCCGGGTCACCGCCGCGGTCCTTGTCTCTTCTGGACTCCCCCGGAGCGAGTGAGGCTCCGGAGCTCTCCAGACATGCACACACGCGCGCGCTCCTGCCCAGGCAGACCTTGCAAGCAGCGCGCGCACACCCAGGGGAAGAGGACTGAGTCCAAAAATAAATAAAAAAATAAAAAGAGACAGAGAAGAAAGAAAGGGGAGGGGGCGAGTCACAGGCGGCGGCGGCAGCTGGGGGAGCGGCGGCAGCGCGCAGTCCCAGAGATGCTGGTGGCGGTGGCGGCGCCCTCCCGGCCCGGCCGCGGCATCTGCATCCCCGCTCCTGGGAACTGGAGCTAGCGGTGCGAGCCGAGCAGACGGAGGGGCGACGCGCGGAGAGGCAGCCCTTGCGCGGCGGCCAACACAGCCCAGGCCAGAATGAGCCACCGGCGGCCGAGAGGCGAGAGCTCGGAGGACCGGGGAGGGGGGCTCGAGCAGGGGAAAGGGGCGGCCAGCAAAACCCGGATCTGGAGTCCGCGAGGGCTCCTTGGCGCGGGCTCCACCTAGCCGCTCGGCAGACGCTTGGAGGTGGGAACCACCGGGCTGCTAGGAGAGGCTTCCCTAGCAGGGTTTGTCAGACAAAGGGTACCTCTCGCGCGCGGCTAGAAAATCTCTCTCTCTTTCTCTCTCTTTCTCTCTCTCTCTCTCTCTCTCTCTCTCT